TTGACTTGATCAGTAACGCGCCGTCTCCAGACCTCAGGAGGGTTCTTACGTTTCATGGTGATTTCAACGATTTTTTTCAAATAACCATCCTTCAGTGTCTTGAAGTATGACGAGGATTGAAATTTCTGCATGATTTTCTGATACATTGTTGCGGTGAAAAAATTTGCAACGCTCCCAAGCTGAGTCTTGAGACCGTTGAACCAGTGACTTTTCTTCTTGAAGCTCGGTCTATTGGAAAGCTTCAAGTTATTGGTTTCACGCGTGAATTTCAGCAAATTGGATGTATCTTTGCCCAGGAATACACCGTTGAGGATATTCTCGTAAGTTGAGAAACTGTTGAAATCCCATTGTGTAATGTCCAATGTCCCTGACGCCGAGCTTCCCATGAAGTAAACCGCGACCATGCCACCAAACGTCTTGTACAAAGGGTGTTTTGGATTTTTGAAAATGTTCTTCAGGGCTTGTCTTTTCGACGTGTTCTTCTCGAGGTAGCCGAAAAGCTTTTTAGGATTTCTGGAAATTTTGCCCAGTCCCCGGAGCATTTCAATAGATGCTTGAGGCCACCCCATTCCGATATCGAAACCATCGATTACACTGGACCAGGTAGCTGGATTGGTAAAATCCCATTCCCAAAAAGCACCTGAGCCATTGTTGCTTAGAACTCCGTGTGCGTAAGCCAATCCAGTACCCACTCCGTAACTGCCAGTAAGAAAGAGTCTTCCGGCTGTTTTTTGACTAACGTGTAAGACCTTGCTCATCTTCTGGATCATGTTTGCTGTTCTTGCAAAATTATGTGCCATGGCTACTCCTCCTGCTATCCCTGTTCCGCCAGCGAAACCCTGATAGAGTGCGTTCCATGTTTCAGGCCTTGTCCATTTCCAGCTTGCTGGATTCCAATTTTGATTCACAGCTGCCATACTCAAGTAACCGGCACCTTTGCAGACGGGACAGAAGTGTCGCATTAATGTGACTTGTTGTGTCGTACAGTTTTGTTTCTCAATATTAATTACAACTCCATTGGCTTCCTGTTTCAGGTCTAAGATCGATTTTGCCTTGAACTTTTTCCGCATATTTTAATGCTATGCTTTTATTTTACTATTATCCGTCTCAGGACGAAGAACGGGCTTCTGGGACCAGTAGGTTTGAACGTGTAATTCACGCCGGGTGACTCAAACGGTCATTCACTCATTCGTCAGATGTCACTAAGCGAAACACATTAAATTGAACAAGTTTCTTTTCATCCCGCAGTTGGATAAAGCCGATAAACAATTGAATGATTTTACTTTAAGAGAACAAAGGATCATTCATTTGACACAGTTACTGCGATAGTCTTGATAAATGCGCGCATTATATACTGCACAGTGTATACCTTGTTTATTGTACTAAAACAATTCCGAATGCAGATGAGTGAATTAATAATTTTAACATTTCAAGAGAGCAAATTTTCTGATAAAAAAGTGACTCATTAATTCAGCGACACTTCTGGCCCGGAATTACTGACGAATGCTGGTTGACCTTATTATGAGGAAACCCATTTTGTAAGAAAAACATTTCTTGGTTAGCTTGAGAATCTATGGATTTGAGAGAAAGCGATTCGAATTGAAGTTGATCAAATCGGTTTATTGTTCATAGACTGTATTCGACTCAAAGCTCTGTTGTATGAACACGACAAACCTTCAAAATGATACATTGTATGAGATACGAGTATACGACTTACTGTGTATGGAAATTGTTGCCACGTGCTTCTTACTATGATGAATTTGGGCTGGGGATTATAATTATGTTAATCTCAACATGCGATAATGATGCCATTTCCGTTGCGCATTCAAATTGATTATGAAGTATTAAATGTATTTCTTAAAAGTACTGCTGTTCTGTCGCCCATGTTGACTTGTCAAAAATGAGTAATGGCTCGACTGAACATTGCTGCAAGGAAGCACGTGGAAATTTTTTCCTGTAAAATTCTGGAGACATACAATATTTCGACGGCTGTGGTGATCACGTCAATGCAACTACAGAAAATCTAACTTTTTTATTACAGCAATTACAGCTTTGAACAGTTTAGGATATGTTTTCGGAAATATATTGATCAAGGTTCAAACCCCTCTTTATGTATTTTCTCTCTCTCTCTCTCTCTCTCTCTCTCTCTCTCTCTCTCTCTCT